TAAAAGACTGGATTAATCGTCCATTTATTCAGTTGGAGCTCTACGGCTGTAAAGGTATGCTAACGGTTAGATAATTTGGTTTGATCAACTGAGTTGATAATATAAATAGGCCACTGTAAAAAGTTTCCTCAAGGTGACTTTCCGAGCGTTAGCCCTTCGTCAGGGCGCATAGAGGAATGATGGGTCGTGAGTGTGTTGGAGCTTCGCTATTGGTGGGAACATGGTAACAACAAAAATAAGAGTAAATAAGTTGAATCGAAAAGAGTCTGTTTAAGAGTGCCGGTTTGAAAGATAAAATTTTGGTCTAGAGTTTTGCACCTTTCTTAAAAAGAGATCGAAGTGTCTGGTCTTAGTCATTCCTTTCTACGTCACAAAGGAGTTCTCGAAATCGGTTGCCCAGTCGTGATCCTCTTTCGCCAATATATACCTTTTTGCAATAAGTGCAAGGTATGCAATAGGTGACATTGGCGGAAGTACCTTGGCAATTTCCTTACTTGCTTCATCATTTAAACGCCAAAATAACAACCTCTGTCTTTTTGCACGAAAAAGAAGTTGTTGCACACCTCGAGCTTTATTTTTTTAGTCCCTTCTAATAAATAGCTTCTTCACTTTCCAGCATGTTTAGAGTCGTATGGTATCGGAAATGACCCCTTACTAGTTTCATCTTCGTCAGCTTCTAGTAGTAGGCTTGGACACGAACCGGAAAATGCACAGAATTTCACCGACACAGGTTCCTGGTGTGCTGAACAGGAAAACGAAAATGAAAACCTCCAACTTGACTTTGGAAAGACGGTCGTATTAACTGGTATTGCAACGCGAGGTCACCATAGCAACGACGAATATGTGTCACAATACGAGCTTGAATACAGTGTTGATGGAGCTCACTGGTTTACTTACACTAGTGCGTTTAGACATGAAGACATAAGAACCCAACTTGCCGCTAATGTAGACAACGCAAGTGTTAGGAGGATTGCCTTCTTGTACGAAATCAAAGCTCGTTATTTTAGAGTTGTTGCTAAAGTCTGGCATAATGGAATCTGCCTCAGGCTGCAAGTATTTGGTTACAAAGGTGACTGTAGTCTTAACTTTTGTTTTTAAGGACTCTATTTTCGAGAAATCCCAAAATTTTCAGTCCTCTTCATCAGCCTATCAAAAAGTGTCAGCTAATCTTTTGTCTTCGCATTCAGTTGATCTTTTTGAACGTTGAAACTCCAATACAAAGACACGCTGTCTCTAAGGCACCAAACAGACATCAAGGAGTTTTTTAAAAGTAGAGCTCTTTTCCTCAGAGGTTGGAAAACTTAGATAATTGAAACCAGGAAGAGAACAACTAAGTTGAGATTTAGTCTAAAATAAAGCAATTCGGCATATTACGCCCATCTATTTAACCTGAATTCGCATCTCAGAAGACAATAAACAATCAGTCAACATCAAAAAGAATAGAATAAGATGGGACGAGTTAACTAGCAATTTTAATTGTTTGTTTATCAATAATTTGAGTTGTTACCATACCAAATAAGTTGCTTGTGTGGTCTGAGCTCCAGAGTGACAAATCCTTTGAAAGTATTTTTGTTCGACAACCTGAGCGGAAGTAGTCATCGGACTTAAAAGATGACTTCCGCACAAGTTGTCGGTAAGAATCATATTTCAGGACTACTGCTACTCAGACAGTTAGACCACACGATCAAGTGTTCCCGGTCTTGAGTTCAGACCATAAACTTAATTTACCAATTAAGTGAGCACAGAAGAATTTTAAAGCCACAAAATACGATACTATATACAAGAAAAACGGATAAAACTAAGAGATTAACAATATATGAATAATACCTATAATTATCGTTGGACTTACTCAGGTTGCGACGAAGACCTAGGCATGGAATCTTCAATAGTTAGCAATTCTTCTATAAACGCCTCCAGTCACCTTGGTGAAGGTTATGAACCATGGAATGCACGTCATAACCGCCATCATGGAAAGGGTGCGTGGTGTGCTGGTCAAAAGGCTAAGGATGAGTTCATACAAGTGCAATTCACCCGGATTCACGTCATTGCACGAGTTTCTTTACAGAGAAAAGAGAAAACATCTCCTGGAGATACAGTTGGTAAGGCCTGGGTGACCAAATTCGTACTTGCGTACAGCGAGGATGGTGTCAGTTGGTCAGAGTACTCTGATGGTAATGGCGTCACGGTTAGTATTGCTAACGTTGATAGTTATAAATTTTGACGCGGGAGGTTTTTTCCGATGCCAAAATGGTAGAAATTGTCAATCGAACAACTGAAGACACTGATATCAAAAATTAGAATGATCCAGCCTGTCGTAAACTATACTTCCGCAAGTCTTCCTTTATTTGTGAACATTAATCTCAATTAATTGTAAAGGAGGTTCTCTCTTTTAACTACAAGTGATGGAAAACTGTCATAATTCATTTATTATATTATGACAGTTGTAAGTCCTATTACATCATAACATCATAACATAATTTTGCAATCCGTGAACCCAGTTAATTTGATTCTCTGTGTAGCAAGAGATCTTTAAGCCTTTTGAAGAGAATAGGGAAAGGACTTTTCATCTTTGTGGCAATTTAAACAGTTTGTTTTCAAGTAAACTTCCTACTTATCCAGGCTTTTTTTGTTCTTTCAATTCAGGAGCTCACTGGTAACAAAGTACACGTCCTTGCCAACACGGTGCGTGCTCAGTTTGTGCGGATTGTTGTTAAGGAATGGTACCACCACATCTGCCTAAGGATGGAATTTTATGGTTGCCAAGGTAAAAACGTCAAGATAAGCTACGCCGTGATTCATATCGTTTTTTTTCGGAGGGGGGGGGGGGGGG